CATGCCAGCAACCGGTCCGCACAAACAAGCAAAGCCCCATCCGCGGGATGCAGACAGCCCACAAAACCACGCACTCTGGTCCGTGGAAAAACCTTTCTCCACGGAACCGGTCCCTGGTGCCCAAAAGGTTGGGGACCTCTCATCTAGTCAGCATTGGTAGATCTGGGAAGCTAAGCAAGCTTAACCTTGGTTACATATACGCAAGCCAACCCCGATTTCATGATCTTTTTTGCCCTGTTAAGTGATCCGTTGTTCAGCTTAACACTGCAGTTAAGCTTAACATGCACTTAACACTGCGTTTAAGTGAATCGTGTGGCCATTAAGCAAATCCAGTTTCCAGCATTGGCTTGTTGGAAAGCCCGCTGGGAAAGTTGAAAATGACAATTACCGGTACTTGATGTTGGGGGACACTGCAGCTGTTGTATACGTGATGGTGACCAAGTGCCAGTATTTTCATCATATGATCCTGAGTTATTGCAGTGGTTCTAAATGTGAGGGTTGCTTGTAAGCCACTTTTATTTCAGTGCTGTTGTAACTTGAAATGGTGTCTAAATGAATAGTGGTAAGTAGAGGGCTACCTGAATGGGAGATCTTTAGGGAGTGATGATCCCTCAGGTACTCCGGTCACAAGCCATGTATTATTAACCATAATCCATGGTTAAATGTAACCACCAATACCTTGAATTGCACCCAGAAGCACACCAGTAACCAATGCAACGCATGCAGAAGTGGTGTCACATGTGCCCCGTGTGTATGGCTCCACCGAAGTACATTCAAATGGTTGCACGCTCCTCACAAGTGGTATAATTTTAACATGGTTGTGGGTGTGCATTTAAATTACACTGGAAAACAACTATTAAATAGAGTCATTGACAACAACAAAGTGGCTCACAATGAGATACTTCTAGAGGAGAGAATCATAGCTGAATTCACATTAATTTGCACACCCAGTTAACAAAAAACAATTACCTAAGCCACAGTTAAAATTTCCATCACACGTTAAATGCTGTGCTGTGCATGCAGTGCAAAGGACTATGGCACACACATGAATAACTTTCTGAGACAAACCTCAAATTATGCAAAGCTTTCTGGAACAAACTGGTTACACAAGTCGGGTGTGTGTGCCAGTAACAGCTTAAAATTAATGATGCCTTACTTCACACACAATATTAAACCAGTGGCCAAGTTCCCCAAACACAAGGATATCGCATGCTACCTGATCCAATATAATTGAACATGCTAGACAAACTCAACCAATTAGCGTGAAAAGACTGATAAAAGCAAGAACTTAAATGGCTTTCAATATTTGAGGGGTTGCCCCAAAGAAGAGGGGGTCAAGCTATTCTCCAAAGCGCCTGAAGGCAGGACAAGAAGCAACAGATGGAAACTAACCAAAGAGAGAAGCAACCTGGAGCTAAGGAGGAATTTCCTGACAGTGAGAACAATTAATAAGTGGCTTGCCATGTTGCTTGGGCAAATAAAACGAGATTCTCACAAAGGTGAATAACATTGAGATCTTTGATATTCTCTCTTGCCAAATGACCAAGAAACACAGAAACCACAAGTAAGGACATCTTCATAGGTGTCTCACAGAAGAAACGGCCTCTTTTTCAGACACAGCATATCTCACACGAGCGCCTGGTAGCAACATGTGTCATCTCAGTTTGGTTTCCTGCCTTCACAGCATCAGCCTTGGCACATTTGATCTCTCTGTTTCCTATTGCAGTTATTACTTGTCACTGTTCCTTTGAGTTGTGGTTTCCATGCACCTGACACGATGGTGAGAAAGACAGGTTAGTTGTTAGCAGAATGAGGTGACAATTATCAGTCGCATCATCTAGAACTGGTGGGAGGTGGGTTTGGGGTTTTTTTTTAAAGTTTGTTCCATCCGGAAATAAAATTGAAAGTGGGTGTAGAGTAAAGGTGAAGAGAGCTTTGTTAGTTCTGAATTACTTTTATAATGATTCAATAGTATTATTTCTTTCAAGGTGCAGCCCTTAATAAAACAACTGCAGCCCTTAGTAAAACAACTGTGTCCGATAAAAAAAAAAAGACAGGTGTGCAATCAGCAAAGGGGTTGCAAGACAGACGCTTACTCTCCTCCACATGGAAGTAAAATCTAGTTGTAAGTTGAGACTTTTGCTTGCTGAAAGGGATTAGGGCACCCTAAAAAAAAAACCCTGAGTTGCTTTCAACTTTTTAAAGAGTACAACTATTCTGCTTTCCACAAGTTAAGTGTTTTGTAGAAATTTGCATGAATTTCCCAGTCAGTTTTGTTGTTGCTGAGAATTCTGGGAGAATGAGCATCCAGGTTTGGGTAGTATTTTAAGTTGCCCATCCGACATTTTAAATATTGCTAAACTGTGCCAGTGAAATGAAAGGAAACTGTGCTCAGAATGTGGGTTGATGAAATATATATATAATTATATATATAAACAATCTTAAAATAGCACCCGGTTAATAAATCTTGTTAGGGGTAGCAATAGCACTTAGACTTCTACACTGCTTCACAGTGCTTTACAGTCCTCTTTAAGTGGTTTACAGAGTCAGCCTCTTGCCCCCAACAATCGGGGTCCTCATTTTACTGACCTCAGAAGGATGGAAGGCTCAGTCAACCTTGAGCCGGTCAGAGTTGAACTGCTGGCAGTCGGCAGAATTAGCCTGCAATACTGCATTCTAATATTGCTCCACCACAGTTCTATATGGACATCGCTATCAAGTTAATCAAACCTATGGCTTGTGGGGGCCTAGCATATGAAGCAAATAGAGCAGTTAAGTTTTGTTAACCTAGATAAGTGATGGCGAACCTTTTAGAGACCGAGTGCCCAAACTGCAACCCAAAACCCACTTATGTATCGCTGGGTGCCAGGTGGGTGTGACCCACTTGGCAGGCGCAGCTACAGTGGGCGTGGCAGACTGGGTGGACAAGACCTGGGTGGGCGTGGCCACCTCGATGTTGCTTATGTGGAGGGACATCTGTGGGAGCCGGGCAGGGTTGGGGGAGATCCAGGGGTCTCTGGTGGGTGGGATGGTGGGCTCCCCAATGGCGGCTCCAGGCTGGCTGGCCTTAGGCCAGTGATGGCGAACATTTAGAGACCACGTGTGCTGGGGCGATGGCGTATGCCCACAGAGAGGGCTCCGCGTGCCACCTCTGGCACGCGTGTCATAGGTTTGCCACCACTGACCTAGATTTAAGATTGAGCATGTTGTGTGAAAGGACTTTCATGGTCTTAGAGCAGCCAAGACTTCCCCATTTGCCAGTGTTGCACCACCATCGTTGATGTCATTCCCAGCAGCAGATGTCAAAGACCGAGAGGGCTTTTATGGAGAAAAGTTGGGAAAACAATGGACAGGTTTCACAGTGCTTGAACAGAACCCTGATGGGAAATTAAACAAGGTTGTATAACTGTTGTGAAATAAACACAATCTTCTCCAAGTGACCTACACAGGTGGTCCTTGACTTTTGACCACGATTGGGGGTCACGTGTCCTTGGAGATTCTCAATCATCCAGGTCGTGGTTGTCCCAAAGGTGCTTTTCCAAAAGGCAACTGGATTTCCTGGGGTGTTTTTTCCTTGAAAATTTCAGTTTAGAACTGAAGAAGCTTCCTTGGATGAGAAGTGAAATGTTTTCAAGGAAAAAACAAACGGAAGTTTGTTCAGTTGCCTTTTGGAAAAGCATCTTTGGGATAGTTGGGGCCAGATTTTCCATTGCTAAGCAAGATGGCTGGTAAATGAATTATGCCCGATTTTACAATCTTTTTTTGCCAACTCCCCCCCCCCCCCACACACTCTTTTGGGGGTCCTCCATAATTTTTAAAAGTGCGAAGGGTCCTGAGAGGAAAGAAGTTTAATAAATACTGGCATAGATCATCTTTTTAGCCTGGAAAGGTAGACAATGATTTTTTTTTTAAAGCTTTTTACCCCTTTTAAATGTGTGTATTTTACAAGGCAGCTAACAAACATTAAACCCCCCCCAAAAAAATCAAAGCCTAAAAAGGTAAAATTACATTATGAAAGACAAAATAGGTTAAATAGAATCAGCAACAGAGAATGTGCCTGCTCTGGATGAAGCCATTCTTTTTCTACGACTTATTTCGTCCATTATCCCATTATTCACAAACTATATTTCACAAAGACTTTACATACACACACGTTATCATATACATCAAATTTTATTAAAGTACAAAAATGGATTTCATAAATTATTTCGGAGACATTTAAATTAACAGTTCACAGTACTATGGGCATTAACAAAATAAAATTAAAGCTCTAGAAAAACAGTGTGCGTTACTTCACACCTCCGATGGCGAGAGAGATCAAGAAACATATCTTTTCTCTCTTTTCAGCTCTGTCTCTTTTCTATCTCACATGCAACTATCCCTCAAGAAGATTTAGCCTTCCAATAATGTGAGTGATTTAATGTCAATGAGGTATAAACTATGAGAATTCTGTTAAAGGGGGAAGGCAGGAGTGAGCTGTTACCAAGAGTTTTTGGACTAGAGATTACACAAGCCAGAAATAGAAGAAAGAATGAGAAACAAATTCAAAGTAAACTCTTGACTTTCTTTAGTAACAAATGGGACAGAGAGAAACGTGGACAGTCTTTCAAGATTGATGAGAACCCTTTGAGATAACTAATCTAGATCGAGGAATAGCTATAGCAAGGATTCCTAGAATCCTAGTTTATTGTTATAGGGCATCATATCAGAACGTTGAAAGTCTATCCAAAGTTTCTCTCTATTCCATGTTAAACTAAATAAGACAGCATTATTTTGAGTTTTATCCCCATGATATCTTCTATGCATGGATTGTGAATTTGCTTCTCAGTGGTTCACTTCTTCCATTCTTCCTTACCCAGTTTCTCCAAGGCCACCTCTAGATTACTTGTCATAGTAATGGTCAATATCTATATTGAAGACAAGCTACGGTAAATCTGTGTTTTTTCCAAAGTTATCATGGCATCAAATAAAGGTGTTATCAAAAAACAACAACCCCCATAATATGAGTTTCCTATCAATCACCCAACTATACTTATTTCGGATGGCTCCTTTGCACATCCACAGTGCATGTTATGAAGTTGAATACTGTCCTGTAAATCTTGCCTTGAAAGCCGCCTTCGAAACTCATCTGTAGTAAAGTAATAAATTATAGGGTCGAGACATGAATTTAAGCTGGCAAGGCACAAGGCAATTGCGTGGAAGACCAAAATAACCTTTCGGGCGTAGGAATCTTCTATCGTTTGGGACTTGACCAAGTAATTCAAAGGGAAGCTGATGTGATAAGGACCAAAGCAAATTAAAAAGACAACGGCACAGGTCAGGATCATCTTTAAGGCTTTCTGCTTCTCCCCAAGGTCTTGGGAAACAGAATTCTTTTCTTGGAGAGATAAGATGGTCTTCCAGGAACAATACAAGATGATCAACAGAGGGGTTACAAAGCCAACCAGCTCACCTAGAGACATCATTGCTATTGAGATAGGTTCATCTGCAGTCTTCAAGGGCAGGTCCACAAAGCATTTATTGTCGGCACAAGTCTCGTTGGAGGTGAGTCGTAGAAGGGGAAAAGGTAAGCAGCCCACACAAACCACAACCCATCCAACGATGCAGATGTACATGTCGTAGATGCGTTTGCAGTCACTGAACTTCAGAGGGTGCATGAGGAACTGAAATCTCCGCACACTGATGCAAACCAAAAAGTAAATACTTGCATACATGTTGACGTACTTGAGGTAGAAGCAGAACATGCAAAGTTCCTTCCCCAGGTGCCAACTTTTAGACAGGTAATAAAAAATCCTTAGTGGCAAAGATAACACTTGAGCCAAATCTGCAATTGCGAGATTGATCATGAAAATCACAGCCCGTTTAGTTTCTTTCATATATCCATAAAAGACCCAGAGAGCCAAAACATTTCCAATCAACCCAGGAACCAGGATGATTGTGTACATAATGGCATAGAAATGTTTCAAAAACTCATCTTCATTGTAGTTTGAGTCATTGGTTGCCATGGTTTTCCTTGTGGAATATGGAGTGGCTTGGAGTTATGTAAAGGGATTAACAAAAATTGTTGCTATCTTGAATTCTCAGGGGAAGGACGTGAAAAGGCTATAACATGAGCTGAGGCACTACGTATGTAAAATCTGAATATTTTGGTTTTGTTGCATCATTTTTTCTTTCACAAACTTGCAAAAACAGATGTTGCTGCTGCAGTTTCTTTGTAGGGGGATCAATTTTTTTTAAAAAAAACAAACCCAGAATCTTTAGGATCTTTTTGCTTCTCTAATTCTTCTATGCTTATCTTTGGATCCTCCTTCAGCTTTCTTCATTGCATTGTTGAGTTTTGCCTAAAATAAGCTTGTTTGATTATGGCATGCGTTTGATTTTTGAAGCAACTTTATCACAGAGTCTTGAGTCCTCTTTCTCAAGTCTTGAGTAAAAGGAAGACAGATAAATGCCAAATGTACGATGTCGATAAGAGGCAAGGAGAATCAAGTGTCATCCGAGACATCACAGCCACCACCTGTGCGAAGAGCTGTTCCTTTTCAACTGCCATACCAAAAAGAAGGACTTTTATAGCTGTTATTCTGCAATACAGCAGAGCTGATCACCTGCAACTAAAGAAAATACAATTAAGATTTTGTGTGGTCTTATGCAAGGCAAGAATGTCTCAAAGTTGACTTGGTTATAGGTTCCATCAACCAACTCATCTCACCCCTGTTGGATACATCAAGAGAAAGAGTTGGAACCTCAAGGTCCTCCCCATTGGCAGAGCTTACACCAATGGCTACTTGATCTCCCATCCTAGCCTTGCCTTCATCAACAGATATTCTACCTGCCTGGTTCAGAAAGAAAGGTGAGAACATAAAGCTGCTTCTATTGAGGTTGGGATTGCTTTGGAAGTCATCGTAGAGAGGAATCTAGATGTCTTAATGGACAACCACTTAAGTATGAGCCAGCAGTGGCCAACACACTCTTAGGCTGCATCAACAGGGGTAGCATCAAGATCACAAGAAATGATAGTGCCACACTATACTATACTAGTGAAACCACATTTGGAACACTGGCTACAGTTCTGGTCACCACGACACAAAAAAGATCTGCTCTCCAAAGCACCTGAAGGCAGGATAGGAAGCGATGGGTGGAAGCTTGTTAAAAAGAAAACCCACTTGGAAAGAGAAGGAATTTCTTGACAGTGAAAATGATTAATCAATGGAAGAGCTTGCCTTCCAGAGTTCTAGGTGCTCCATCGCTGGAGGTTTTAAAGAAAAGATTGGACAACCATTTGTCCGAGATGGTATAAGGACTCCTGCCTTGGGCAGGGAGTTGGACTGAGAAGACCTCCATGGTCCTTTCCAGTCCTATGATTCTAAAAGCATCCAATACAATAGCAGGTGCATCGTGACTGGCACAGATCCTATAATACTTGCCATTTGAATGATGACACATGAGGTTCTTGGCCCCCCAAAAATAAATATGTCCCATTCTCAAACTATCTTTTGCAGTTTCTATTCCTCTTGGTCAAAATGCATCGTCATCATCATCAACAACAACAACAACATCTAGTAGTATAAAAATACTTTATAAACAAAAATGTTTTATAGACAAGTGGGTCTTATTTCACTTTTTCAAGACTGCTAAGCCAGTCCAGCTATATTTTGAGAGTTATCTGTTCTAAAAGCAGGTAATTTCTTATCCTGAGTCTATTTCTTTAAGTCCCTGATGGTACATGAACAAATTGATTTAGCAAATTTGTAACAGATGCACTCCTCTGTTTTCATTGGGTATCTTATAGTAGGATTAATAGTAAAAATCACTATTTCTTAATTGTTTTGTGCTGCCTATATTCCTCTATTCGTTGGAATCTACCTTAATACACAGTAGATTTGTTGAGGAGAAGTAGAATCCTTTCACTGTGTTATTTTAGAATTCCTTCCCTCCCCAGTGATGTTATTAGACATCATTATATTTGATTAGGAGCAGTCTGTTTCCTCTGAAAGTTGAATGAAAGTACGACTTCCATTACAGAAACATATCTTCTGAGATTGTGATAGAACTTCAGGGAAGCGTCTCCATCTATCTCATCAATTGTGTACAAGGTGAACATAATCTTGCTGTATTTCTTACTCTGCTTTATCGTGGGAGTCAGAATACATAATATATCAAGCGTTTAATAGGTATTCCAGTGCCATTATTAACAAAAGCTTCTAAATGTCTACTTTTCAGGTGGTTTTGATTGTGATAGATGAAGACCATTACTTAATGTTCAGTGGTTTGAGGAAAAACATTAAGTCGATGGCCTTTCCAAGCCTTCTGTCACAGTTAGCTGAGCCATAGTATAATCCTCTAATATAAATAGTTAAGATTTGATTCCCCCTCTGAAGATTGTTCAATGTTTAATTAAAATGCAAGATGCTATATCTCATATTATCCTACTAAATCATTTCCCCTGATAGTGTGCCTTTCAAACATGCTGTTAATAGCTAGTTGACAAGTCTGCAAACATAGTTTCACACAGTTGGAGAGACTCAACATGAAGAAAACTGGCATAAGGAGTGTCTCCTAGATCTCAGTTGGTAGGAACAATATAAAGCAGCAGAAAGGTTACACCCCATTGCATTATACAAGTCTATAATTTTAAGTATAAAGAAATGGGGTATAATCTTTCTGCTACTTGGTCACATCACACACACCCCAGGCGCACAATGTTGTACAAATCAGCTATATTCACATCATTTGCAAAACACTAAACATAGGTTAAGAAAATATAGTTATTGCTTTTATGCCATACATAAGCCAAAGCCAAACAATAATCATAAGCAGCTGGCGCTGGGCAGGGGATGGAGCAAGGGATTGAGAGATTGGCTGGGAAACTGTCATAGAATGTTGAACTAAAGATTACATGACTGTAGCAGCAACGTAGCAGTAGCCAGTAGCACTGAAACAGCCAAATGTTATTCCTTAGAGAGTCATGGGTCCTGGATTTTGGACATATTCTGTAAATTAGCTCATCTGAGGTACCTTGGTTCAAAAATTGTTGCCTTATGATGCACTGTTTTCCAAGTTGAAGGTGATGTCAATGAGAGTTTTAGCACTATATAGATCACAATTATTCTGCACTCACTTCATCATTATATCCTCATAACAAGCCTGCTAGTGACTGGACCAATATAACCAAGTGTAAAAAAAATGCAAATGGATGAGCTGATAAGGGGAAAATGACAACTTAGTTTAAAAGGAGCATGAGCAAGAAAATCACAGTCATCTAGACCAGTGGTTCTTAACCTGGGCGGTACCGCCCCCCAGGGGGCGATTTCATTTTTCAGGGGGGCGATGGAACGAAAAGGGGCGGCGTGGGGGCGATGGAACAAAAAGGGGGCGATAGGGGGGCGATGGAGTGAGATGTTTTGGGGACACTTTTGAGCCTTTCCCTGCAGCTCCAAGCGTCCTCCGCCATTTGTAGAGAGAGACAGAGAG